ATGGGCAATGCATTGAATGCTTGAGTTGAAGCCTCTAACAGCTGTGCAAACATTTAATTATGGAGTTACTAACAAGTTTGAGGCCTGCGAAGCAAAGATTGTGCAGCCTAACATGGATTTGCATTCTTGTTCATCATGAAATTGACCTATAATTCAAGAATGAAATGCCAACTCCATGCCTTTGATTCTCGTTGCTCAAACATGATCTCAATGAGTTCTTTGACATTTTAGAAATCTTGTAATGTGATCTATAACCCCTCTTTGAATCACTTTTGAAAATTCCCCTTGGAACTATGTGAAAAATTGCCATGAAGTTAGGTCAAAATCCTGCCTAAACTAGGGCAAAATTTTCACTAAGTGTTTAGTTTCATGAACATGTATTCACAAAATCATAAATTGAAATTCATGCATTTATAGGAGAACTTGTGTAAAGTAATATTTTAGATCTCATTGAGATATACAACTTTAATGTTGCAAGTTTCTCTTGAATCATCTTGCATCATGGTGAAAAATTGGCTCAAAGTTGTGAAAAAATATGAAGTTTTCAACACTTAGAAAAATTTCTAAGTTTGGAAATTTTGACTTTTCAAAATGAAATCTTGACTTTTTGATTTCTTGATGAACAAGTTTCATATTTTGACATGTTTTGATGAATTGTGATCTTTGACACTTGATTTTGATCAAAAAGTCAAAGTTTGACTTTTCAGTGTACAATTGACTTTTGATCAGTTGACTCAAAATCAACTATCAATCAATTGATCTTGAGGGAAGTTTTGAGTCATGCCATAGGTTAAAATGATGCAAATGAATCCTTGAGATCATGTCTCAAACCAATTAACCATTTTCTAGGTCAAAAATCAGAAATTGCCCTTTCTCAGTCAAAGCCCTAATTTTGACCATTTTGCCCTTTTGATGATCTGATCAAATTTATTGAGGAATTATGGTCCAAACTTGATCAAATGACATATATGAGCTCACAATGTTGATATGGATAAAAAATTATGAAGTTTGACTGTAAATTGACCACAATTGACTTTTTCCCCAATATAGTTGATTTTTAGGTCAACTGATCAATTGACTAAGCAAAAATGTGATCCAAGACTTGAAACTTGACATGAGCAATCTTGAGGGTCCATAATGATCCATAAAAGTCATATGAGTCATTAAAAGTTCAATTATCCTTGTGCAATCTCAAACCCTAATTTCAGTCATCAGTGCTTAAGGAGGTGTCTTGAGCTGATCAACCCTTGTGCAGTCTTGAACCAAAGGAGATCTTATGAGAAAATAATTGATAAATGAGAGGGAAAATTTTGGGGTACAACAGTATGCAATCGAAATGAAAGTATTAGACTTCTGACATCTTTGATTCGGTCCGCGACTACAATATAACGCCATTGATGAAGCGATGAGAATTAGGGTTCATATGTCTTTTGATTTGGGTTTTTGTTCCTCTTATTTTTATCCATAAATACGCTAAATAGTAGAACAATTACACACTCAACACGGTTAAATGTTAAATGACACATCAACGTCGTTTGTGCCAACTCAGTTTTTTAGAATGGATTTTGTGAATAAGGTCAACGTTATAGATATTAGTTAATATAAAGGACCAACTAGTAAAAAAATTTAAAAAATGACTTATTACAATAAAATAAGGAAATTTTTAACTACACCCCTTGGAGCTCTCACGCATCTGTGAATTGGCAAAATTGCCCCTCTGCTTCCGTAAATGGACCTCCAGAAGCACCTTTTTTTTTACATTTGCGTGAAAACATTCCGTAGATGCACATACAGAACATTTCTGTAGGTACATCTATGGAATAAACCCAGAATTAGAAAACTAGAAAAACAAAATTTGTAATGAGAAAAGAAACATTCATTGATTAAAATCGACATTACATCGAAATTTCCAACAAAAAATTAAGAAATCTAAGAAATTACAACAGTCAAAACAATTTTATCTGATCCATGCATCATTTTAATGGTATCAATGTCATTTTCCACTTCATCCCACCAACGTTCCATTTTTCCAACCTCAAGTGAGGTCTTTGTTCTAAGCCTATGAATCCTTCTGATGGCTTCGCTAGGTTTGTACTCCCCCTCTAACCAAGACATCAGAGACCTTTATAGTTGGTCAAAGGAATGGATGTGCCAAAATTTCATCTTTATCGGGGGTTTGAGAGGAGAGAAAACAATATGCCCATCCCTTTTGAAAATAATTTATTCAGGAGCGGGTCGCTTGGATGATGTCCGCATCTATGATGATGGCCTAGGGGATATCACTTTTGTGTTTGTGTGTAATACAACACTAGAAACCCCAAATTTATAGAAGACCTTGGTGAATATGGACCACACATTCTATGTCATAGAATGTTCTGTAGGTATATCTACGGAAGGATCATTTTTTTTTTTTGCTTTCGTAGATACATCTACGGAAAAAAACCTATATATTTCAAAATTAGAGCCTTCCGTAGATACATCCACGGAAGTTTCCCTGTTATTTTTTTTAACATAATAGAATAATATAGCAGTAGCAGTAGACAGAAAAACACATAAACACATAACTAATACTTGACAAAAAATGATTATATTGCAATGTTAAAGAGTGCATATATTACACTTTGAAACTAGAAAATACATCAAAAGAACTGTCGCCGGCTAAACCTACTGGTGGTTCCAATTTTGACTTTTCCTTATTCGATTCTTTTTCGATATTCTTCAATCTTTTGAATTCCTGCATCCTATCAACAAAAACATCTAGCCACGTATCGGCAACTTTGGTATGATAAAGATCCCATTCCGGTGACGGAGGTGGTATGGGGTGTCCTAGTTTCAAGTAAACTTGCACAAAGTGACCCGCTTTAGAAATCCATCCAATACACATGATGCGATCATTTGAATTTGGAGGGAGTGTTGTGCGGAACGGGAAAAAGGTTTCCGAAAAACCATAACGCGTCAAGTCAATGCACACCATATCATACGCGCATGCTATAAGATCTCCCATGTCCGGGAATCTCATCCATTTTGACATCGGTGCGTAAGCGCCCATCCAAGGAACAAGAGCTGCGTTAACCGCTTTAAATTTAACCTCTCCATATAACCACATGTACGATTCTTTATGCGTCTCCAACTCTTGGATAAGTTGGTCTCAGACAAGCTTATGGCTATGCTCTCCCTTACCAAGCAAAGTCGAGACGACCCTGTAACCGCAATTATCGTCCCTCCCAACATCTATGATCTGCTCGATGTAAGGGTGCACAAAAACCGACATCTCTTCGATGAATGAAATTTCTGATGAAATAATTATCTCTTCGATAATTGGAATTTTGAGTGGAATAGGTGTATGAGGTGGAATAGGTGTCAGAGGTGGTTTGCTTATGCGAGCTTGTTTGTTTGAACTTTTTTTAGACTTTTGAGATTTAGGAGTCGGTGAGTTGAGGTAAAGTTTATCGACATACTCACAATAAGAAGGAGATCGTGTAGTCGAGTTGTCATTCGGTAGGCTTCAATTTCTTCGTAGCACCCTTTGTATTAACCAGTTGAGAAGGAAATTTCATGTCGGTTGTTTCGGGATGTCCAATCTTCTGCAATTGTTCTTTGATGTGTAGTTTCATGTTGTCATCGGCCTTCGAAAACCTCTCTTGTATCGCTTCCAATTCGGAAGTAATAGAGATATTCGATTTTTCTCCTTCGATGCAACCATCATCATCAAAACTAAGTATCTTCCAATGAGGAATGACTTCGTCCATTCTTATTGGCTCACCTAGTCTCTCCTTTTTAGCAATAACACAAGCACACGGGAGACCTTACGTTCTAGTAATAGTGCAACCACAATTTGCACTATCGCCACCAAAAGTTTCACCTCGTTTGGCCTTGTGAAAGATATAGTTCAACCCAACGTGAGACATATTGCCGATCAATTGAGAATAAATGATGTTGTTCTTAAATCGATGCTCCAAAACTGTAATGCTCCGACCAAATAAGGTTTGTATCTCATTGTGTTGGTTTTTAATCATGAGATTTACGGTGTCCCAATCTCGACAAAAGTCACCATTGATATTACCTAACCAAATTTTCAAAGTAGCATGTGCCGACTTAACTCTATTGGTGGTTGTATTTCCAAGGTGTCTGACATTATTAGTCCACGCACATACAAACTTCTCCTTCACCTTGTCAAGAATGGTGCTTTCAACATATTTCAATAAATCGAAATGCTTTTCACACACTTTCTGAAATTGCAATACAGAATCAACGCATATTTCTTTTGTCGAAGAATTTGCAATATGAGCCCATGCATCCATTATTTGTTCAACAACCACTCCGGGCTTCACCGGTTTCCCACCTTCGGTCTCTACTTGTTTCGTCCCCACAATAGGTTTAATCTTACTTCTCACATTACATGATATGTGATATCGACATAGTAATGCATTATAAGTAGGAAATACCTTTGCAACCGCATTCATCAAAGCGGTATCGCGGTATTCATCAAAGCGGTATCGCGGTCCATAATAATCGCCTTAGACATCTCGACTTGTTTCCTCAAAAGTGACCGACACACCTCCAATGCCCACTTAAAACTATCCTCTTTTTCACACTCCAAAAAAGCAAAACCAACAGCGTATGTCTTCTCGATGGATGTAACACCGACATCTCAAATAATGAAAGGCAATATTTGTTGGTCTTGTAGGTAAAATTTAGATGGAGCACTATCGAAAAAGTGTTGAATAACTTAATTGAATCTAAATTAGTCCAAAAAATATCTCAGACGATAACCTCATTATCAGAAGTTCTGTCCCCGCGACACGTATTTGTTGTCGTCCAACAATTTCTCTAAAATAATCATGAAATAATCTTGCCTATTTTATATTTAAAAATAAATGAGATCGAAAAAACAATAAGTTAAAACAAGAAGAAAAAAAAAGCTAGGGCTGGTTTGATTTGGGAGCGGCTGAAGAAAGAATTAAACGAGAGAGAGAGAGAAAGAAAGGTGTGAAGGAAAAATGAGCAACCAAGCAAAAGGCAAGACGAAGAATGACGGTGGTAAAATGGGAGGAGGATTTAGGTCAAAGTTGAATCACGCTCTCTACAGCGGTGAAAAGAAGCACGTTTTCGCTGGCTTAGTTCTCATCACCGCCGTCTTTTCTGTACCATGGTTTCTTATGAACAGAGGTTCGTTCATTTCAACTTTACTATTCTCAATTTTTCTTTTATTTCAAATTCAAATTAGTTTCAATGTTCTCAACTTTACCTGTTGCTGAGTGTTTAAGATCTCTTGCATATGTTGTTCCTTCTGAATCTATGTATCCCTCTGCAACTGCTTTGGTTCAAACTAATTTGATTTTGGGTGCGTTTGGAATTAATTTTCAGAGTTTATTTGGACTTATCTAACCCAACTTATATCTCATGAAATAAGCACTTTTCTAAGTGTTTTGGTGAACTTGTAAAATCAGTTTATTACATGTCTATTAGTTGTTATCAGCTTCAGTCATTCAGTAACGAGTGAGACAAATATCATAGGTGATATCCGAAACCGCTGATGTTAGGATTATGGAAGTAGACTAAAATCTCAGAACCAACCTAAACAGGGCTTGTTCCGGTATTGCCAATACTGTTTTGTCCAGCAATTGACCCACGACAAAGGCGTAGGAAGCACAAGGATTCGGTTGATTGACACGTATGTAGGTTCTGGTGGGAACATAGACATCTCACTCCGTGCTATGAACAAAGGAGCGCGTAAATCATTCGTCCGTCCGTTCGCTTTGTTTTGGTCTTGACGTGCTTTGAAAAACATAGATATATTATTTGCACTAGAACACTGACGATAGACCCTCCAGGAACACATTCACTACTAGACATTGATATCTTAATGTGTTGCAATCAAGACATTGATCGATACATACCATCAGTGATTTTTATTTTGAATTGGTTTCTTTCACACCGATCATTCTACAAGGTTTTGTATGTAAACATTTTTAAATATTTCCACTTTCCTTCACGTGTGTTTGGGCAAGCATCTGTCATGGATTTGTAAAATAACGTGGTTAAATTTGAGTTTGAAATGTAGTGATTTATATTTTGATGTAAAATTTTGTTTAACATTTTCAACCTTATGTTACTACTTTTCATAACTTCTATGAGAGTCAAGCCACGATGAATCAGCAAGACAGCATAGGAAATAATAGGATGAGGGACAGGTGTGGTTAGGAAAAAAATAGAAACAGAATTATGTAACGGCAGTTAATAGGAATTTGTTGGTGGTTACAATTTACAAAGCAGTTAAGATTAGAAAAGAGCTTCTGTAATTATTTATTACCAGAGTTATTAATCCTGGATAGCGGAGCGGAGCGGAGCGGCCGACTCTCGGGAATGGGAAAAATGGGAATAGCGGGATCCCGAATAGCGGGATAACTTTTTGTATACTAATAATTATATAATAATCTATAAAATATATGTCATGTAATACTAAACTAATTTCACAACACTCATAAAATATTTATAAAATCTAATGTCAAACAAAGAACAATGCTTAATCAAGATTCAAAACATAAAGATTCAAATTCAAACTTAGTACTATCATATGAAAATTCAAGCAAACATAGAAATCATGTAGCATCATCAAATATTCCTCCAATTCTTCATCTTCAACATCTTCCACCACTTGTTGTGCCATTGGTGCTCTAGGTGTCATTGTTGCTATTGGTGCCGATGTTGCTTGAGAAGTATTTCCAACTTCAAGTTGCCTTGTTGTCCTCCTAGTGTAGATACTCATTAGCCCCACTAGCATTGGTAACTTGACTCCAAGTTAAATCATGATTTGGATGAACCAAGTCTTCACCATCATCTCCTACATTTTCCATCTCTCCCACCAACCATTCGGTGTGGAAATTAATTTCGTTAAATTCCATAGGATCAATTTTATCCCGAATTTCAAACCTCTCTACCAAAGCTTGATTATACTTGATAAACACCAAGTCTTGCAATCTTTGATGTTCCAATTTATTTCTCTTCTTGGAATGAATCTAAAATACAATAATTTGAAGTATTAATTTAATAATTCTTGCATGTAAGATACTTTAATAACCTAGTAAAAAATTAATACTTACGTGCTCAAAGATGCTCTAGTTACGCTCATATCCGGAAGCACTGCAACTCAAAAACACTTTAACAGCCAAGAATTGCAACTCCGGAGTTTCGGCTCCATAAGACTTCCACCACTCAGCTGCAAGTAATTGTAAAAAATCATTCCATATACATAACACAAAGTGTATCATATGTAAAAAATCAAAAAATCATTCCATCTTACCTGGAGCTAATGCCGACCTTTGTCTAATGGCCGCTCTTATACCAAAGAGACCCGTAGCACCCCTGTATTGTGACAATTGTTCTGAAATCAAATCTTCCACTGCATAACTTTCACTAAGTGTCTCAATACACTTACAGAGGCCTCTCACCAATCTACCATTATTCTCAATTTCTGGTTTAGAATAATAATATTCAGGATTGAGATAGTGACCTGTAGAATGTAGCGGATGATGAAGTTGACACTTCCATCTTTTATCAATGATTTCAAATACGGCTTTGTATTTGCTTGAATTTGAACTAAAAGCTTTCTCAATTGATTCCTTCGCTACCCCCATTTCAACATATATGTATCCCATTGCGGGTTTCCTTTCATTATCAACCATTCTTAGCACATCTACAAGAGGCGCCATGCACTTAAGAGTGTAGAGAACATCATTCCAAAATGATGTCGTAAGTATAGTAGTAGCTGCCCTTTGTCCTTTAGCATCTTTGGCACACTTGGAACTCGCCCATTCTTCATAAAGGAACATATCTCTAAGCTTGCCTTTTAGTTATTGCATCCTTTGTAGACAAAGGAAATGGGTAGCAAACCTTGTCACTCCTTGTTTAACCAATTCAACATTGCCCGTAGTCTTTCTCATTAGATTCAAAGCAAAAGTATGGTTATAAATGTAGCCCACAACCTTAACCCCTTTTTGTATAACCTTTTGAACCTTTGGAATTTTGCCTATGTCTTCTAACATAAGGTCTATACAATGGGCAGCACATGGAGTCCAAAACATGTGAGGCCTCTTCAAACACAATTCTTTACCCGCCGCTACATAATTACTTCCATTGTCGGTAATCAATTGAACAACATTTTTTTTCACCCATTTCCTCAATAAAAGTGTCCAACAACTCGACTAGCTTTTCCCCCATCTTGTCATAGTTAGAAGCATCAACATTTTTCACAAACATGGTCCCCGTCGGAATTGACCAAGAAATTAATCAATTTTCTACCTTTTCTATCCGTCCAACCATCCGACATAATTGAACATTCATATTTATTCCTTTGCACCTCTTGGTTTTTCAACAAACCTTTTGTATATTCCAACTCATTTCGAAGGATTGAAACCCTGAATTCATGATAACTTGGCGGTTTCAAATGAGGACCATAACTTCCAACGGCTTCCAACATCAACTTAAAAGCTCTTGCATTTGCTACATTAAAAGCAACTCCACACGTATAAAAAAAGCGACCAACATATTGGATGGTTCTTGCCCTTGCTTCTTTATCACAAGCATCATTGATGCTCGTGTCCTTACTCTTCTTATACACCAAATCCAACGGTCCCTTAGTCCTCATGACAACCATTGAAGAGGTCTCACTCTCAACAATCCTCTTTCTGGTTCGAATTCTATGTATTTCCTCAATATCAATGGTATCATCCGCATCTAATTGCACCGAAACCTCTTGTATTCCTTTCTTAATTCTCTCTTTCTCAACCATGTCAGCACGTAATATAGCCTTAACATCCTCGGGTGTTTTCGTGCAAGAAATTACATCATCGGTAATTGCTAATTGATGCCTTTTGGTTCTTGTTATTCAAATCCTTCAAATGATTGTATTTCCATCCTATGTCCTTACTATTGGTTGGTTTGATCGTTGGAGCACATGAAGCAACCGATGCAAAATTCGGTGTAAGCTGCCATATTTTTCTAGAAAAGAAATAAAAGTAGAAACAGAGAGTGAAACAGAGAAGATGAGAAAACAGAGAGTGAAACAGAGAAGAAGTATATTACCTGAGGCTGGCTGAGAGTGAAACGGAGAAGTAGAAGAAGGCTTGCTGGCTGCTGCTGGAACGGCGGAGAAGTGGAACGGAGAAGTAGAAGAAGGCTCGCTGGCTGCTGCTGGAACGGCGGAGAAGTGGAATGGAGAAGTAGAAGAAGGCTTGCTGGCTGCTGCTAGAACGGCGGAGAAGCAGAAGATGGAAAAATAGGGCACAAGAAGGAAATAGGGCACGAAGAAGAATATGAGAAATAGAAATCTGTTTTAAAAACTATTTTAAAACAGGGGTAAAAAGGTAATTTCGTCCAAATTTAAAAAAAAAATTAGAAGACCAGATCTGCGCCGCCCGGGAGATGCCCGCGATCCGCGACCCGGTCTAGCGGCGATAGCGCCCGCGATCCTCTCTCCGCCACCGCACCCATGTGCGCGTGCGGTAGGACCCCACTCCGGTCTGGAGCGCCGCGATAGCGGCCGCTATGGGCGCTATTAACAACTCTGTTTATTACTCAATATGTCTCATATTATGTGTTTTTTAAGATTATGTAAACTAATTAAGAAAATCATCGAGTGTACTAATTTTTATAAAAAACTGAGCTTCATCGACTAAAATATCTTTATTATTTCCTCCGTCTCACAATAAGTGTCTTATTTGATTTTGTTCCTATCATGTACTTTGGAACAAAAAAGTACATGATAGTAGTGTCTGAAACTAGGAAAAAAGATTGTTCCTATCATGTACTTTGGACAGAGAATACACTCTGTACAGCTGCATTGTTGTATTTTTGTGTTCTATCATTATTTGATCCTATTTTTTGTCTATTTAAGTTGGTGTTCTGCAATCCTATTTTGTGTTCTATTAAACCTAGATTTGTAGACAATTAGTTTTGAATCAAAATATCCGAACTTCTAAAGAACAAATTGACCGTAATTTTGAGTTTCCAAACAGGTATCCAAATAAACATTTCATTTGTTACTCAATCTGTTAAGCTTCTATTTCTTTGCAGGATCAAAACATCAGTCTCATCAAGATTATTTGGAAAAAGCTGATAAAGCAAGGACCCAAAGACTCTCGTCCAGCCCTGTCGCATCTGCCAAATAATCTCAATTAGCATTCTGTTAAAGATCACAGTTTCCCGTAACTCTTGATTTCAAAGCCATTAGATATATTTATTGGATTTCTTTTTCTCTCTAGTTTTGTCATTGAGATGGATGTCCATTTTTGCTATAGTCGTGTATTTCATTACTAAATAAATCAGACTTTTATAATTTAAAAAGTAACAGTGTTTGATAATTTGATATCGTAAAATTTCTCTATATAATAAAATATGTTAGATTTGATTTGCCTGTTTGAGCCGTATAATAGGGCGAGGAGACTTCTCATTTTATGTGTGCCGACTTGTAACTTCTTATCTCATGTGAGTACAGCATTGGTGAAGATTTTGTTGTAATGTTTGTAGAGCATACTGTTTCTGTCATGCTTGTTTAATCCACATCATATAGTTGATTTCATGCCGCAGATAAAAGAAGAATTTGTATCAAGCAGTCAACAGGTAATATAAACTTGTATCAACCCTTGTTTGTTTCGTCTTAGATATTTCATA